ATGAAAGTAAAATTTTCCTGAACACAATTAATAAATGGCTGTGACAGCACATTGACAGGTAACTGTCATAAATTCAAGCTGTTCTGAAGAGGATGTGGAATGAGGGATACCATTGCTGACATCAGATGGATCTGGTTAAAAGCAGAGAGTACCACAAAGATGTTTACTTGTGCTTTATTGACTATGCAAAGGCTTTCAACAGTGTGGACCATGACAAGCTATGGACAACATTTCAAAGAATGGGCATTCCAGAATACTTAATGATCTATACATAGACCAAGAGACAACTGTTCAAATAAAACAAAGTTATACTCAATGGTTTAAATTACAAAACGTGTGTGCCAGGATTGCATTCTTTCACCATAATTATTTAATCTTTAAATTGAGTAACTAATTCAAGCACTGGATTATATGATGAAGAACATAGCATCTGTATTAAAGGATGTGATATGTAGATGATTAGCAACCTGTGATATGTAGATAATATAACCTTGCTTGCTGAAAGTGAAGAAGACTTAAAATGCTTACTTACAAAGATCAAATACCACCTCCTTTAGTATGGGTTGCACTTTAATGTAAATAAAACAAAAATCCACGCCACTGGACCAGTTAATAACATCATGGTAAATGGAAAAAACATTGAAGTTGCTAAATACTTCATTTTGCTTGGGTTAACCATCAATGTTCATGGAATCAGCAGTTAAAAGTTCAAAACACGCATTGCATTAGATAAAACTGTTGCACAAGACCTATTTTAAGTGTTCAATAGTAAAGATGTCAATTTGAGAAATAAGATTTGCCTTACCCCAATCATGGTATAGTCGTTGCCTAATATGCACGTTAAAGTTGGACAGTAAATAAGGAAAACTGTAGAAGAATTGATGTATTTGAGTTATATGGTTAGAGAATATTAAATGTACCATGGACTGCCGGAAGAACAAACAAATCTGTATTGGAAGAAATAGAGTCAAAGTGCTCCAGATGGCAAGACTCTGTCTCTCATACTTCAGACACGTTATTAGAAGGAACCAGTGCCCGAAGAATGATATCATACTTCGTACAGTGGTCATACTTGGTCAATGAAAAAGAGGAAGAATCCCAATGATATGGACTGACACAGCTGCAGCACCACTGGGCTCAAGTGTAACAACTATGAGGATGGCACAGGATAAAGCAGTGTTTTATTCTATTGTGCAAAGGTTATTATAAGTCAGAACCAACTTGACGGCACCCAACAACAACAATAACCATCAAATTTTACGTTTTATATAAAATTTATGATAATAAATGTGTGTCACGAAGGACCATAACTGAGGTCCATAAATATGACCCTTAAAAATGATATATTATAAAGGAATGAACCTCTTTTTGGTTAAAGTAAAACACAGCAGACTAGTGGGAGCATGAAGAATTCAATCAAGACCTTAAGGTGAAAGAACACAAAATGGAACAAGAAAATAACATAGCAAGCAAAATAATTGGCATCCGTCTGCAAAAATAAGTCTAATTTTAACACTTACTAGTGAAGTCTGTGTATACACAAATACATAATAGCTAATTAGAATTGACTGGATTCTCAACAAAAATATGACAAAAACATACCAATTAAGGGAAATTTCTTTGATGATATAACATTAATAATAATAATTTAAAAATTAGGGAAATTGGTTTCCAATGAATACAAAATGGAGCCTAAACATGCTTTATAATTAACACATGTAACCCACATTCCTCAGATAAAAGAATGGTCAAGAGTAGGAAGATCATTTCCTCTTTCAGAAAGGTAATCTTTTTTCTTTTTTCCATTTCAGAAGGTTCGAACAAAACATATTTTTAAAAGTAGTTCAAGTTCAAGGCTGAATTTCATTTAGCCTTTCAGTAAGATAATTTTTCCATTTCTGTATGTTTATATTATCTTTATCTTACTAAAGAGGTAAACTGATCTGAAGCAAAAGGTAAGCGAGAGCTAAGAAAGATGGATTGTTGTTGTTATGTGCCGTGGAGTCGATTCCGACTCATAGCGACCCTACACAGGGTTTCCGAGGCTGTAAATCTTTACAGGAGCAGAACACCTCATCTTTCTCCCTTGGAGCAGCTGGTAGTTTCAAACTGGTGACCTTAAGGTTCACAACCCGATTCGTAACCACTACGCTACCAGAGCTCCTTTAAAAGACAATAGTACACTTAATTTTAAAATGTTTACCCAACCAGTATTTTCATTAAATACCTGCCATTAAATAATTAAATGAAAATGTTAATTATAAGTAGTTTGTCTTAATATATTTCAAATTTTTGCATTATTATTTGAAGGAAAGAAGAGTTCCAGGTAAGATGGTATAGAAAAAATAATTTTCCAATTCTAAAATTATATATGCATTTCCAACATGGTTGATATAATGTAAAAAGTAAATCATTTTACAACTTAATTTTAGAGTTTTCACATGAATAATATTACATTATTACATATTACATAATATGTTCAACAATTTTTCCAGTTTCAAGAAATATCTGATTCAATGAATAAGCATATGTGTGGTATTCATATACAAATGCACATAAACATATGCAGTGCATTTTTAAGCTAAATTCTGTGTCAGTTTCCATTCACTTTAAGAATTATTATATTTATCTTATAGCAATGGCAGAATATACTTTAAGAAATTATACTTTTTTTTCTGGAATCCCTTCTGTGCATATACATAGATTTGTTTCTGCAAATTATCCAACTTCACTTACTCTACTTAAGACTATATTATGAATCATGTATTTGCTATGTGGATTGTACTGTTACATTTGTGAACCTGGAGATCTTCATCATTACCTATTATATAATAAGAGTGAATACAAAAATATGTTCCTAAGCAGTAAGGATGGCTAGAATTTAGCTCACATTTGGAGACAACATAATGAAATACTAATTGTTACAGAAAGCCATCATGTTTGGTAAAATATGTTCTTTGTTGTTACTAAGTGCCATCAAGTCAGTGCCAACTCATAGCTAGCTACCCTAACCAAACAGGACCAAATACTGTCCTGTGCCATCCTTACAATAGTTGTTATGCATTTCCATGACTACTGCCACTGGATCAATTCATCTTGTTGGGAGTCTTCCTCTTTTTCATTGACTCTCAACTTTATTAAGCATAATGTTAACGACAACAACAACAAAATCTAGATTAATAGAAACTGGTCTTGCCTAACTGAACATCCAAAAATTGAGATACTTAAATTTGCCATCATCGTGTCTAAACAGGACTCTGGTTGTACTTGTTCTGAGACAGATTGTTTGTTCTTTGGGCAGTCCATGACAATTTCTACACTCTTTGCCAATAGCATAATTCAAATGTATCGATTCTTGTAGTCTTATGTATTCATTACCCAAATTTCACATGCATATGAGGCAATTGAAAATACAATGGCTTATTCAGGTGAATCTTAGTCCTCAAACGTGTATCTTTGTTCTTGAACACCACTTTAAAGAAATATTTTGAAGAAGATTTGCCTATACAATATATTCTTTGCTTTCTTGATTGCTGCTCCCATGAGTGTTGATTGTGGATCCAAGCAAAATGGAGTATTTGACAACTTCAATCTTTTCTCCATTTATTATGATGTTGTTTATTGGCCCAGGTAAGGTTGTTTTTTGTTTTTTGTTTTTTGTTTTTGTCTTTACATTGAGGTGAAATCCCTAATGGATGATCTAGTCTTTGATCTTCGTTATAAGTATTTCAAGTTTCTTTTGCTTCCCACTAGCAAGGTAATGTCATCTGCATATCACTGATTGTTAATGAGTCTTTTTCCAATCCTGAAGTAAAGTTCTTCATATAAACCCACTTTTCAAATGATTTGCTCAGCATACAAACTGAATAAGTATGTAGAAAAGATATAATTCTGATTTTAAACCATTTAGCACTCCGTATTGTATTCCTTGTATGGTGACTGGTGGTGGTTGCTTGGCACTGAGTAGGTTCTGACTCATACAACCTGTGTAAGATTTTTGAGACTATATATCTTACAGGAGCAGAAAGCCTCATTTTTCTCCTGCCGAGCGACTGGTAGACTCAAACTACTAACCTTGGGGTTAGCAACCCAGCTAGTAATCCTCTACACTACCAGGGCTCCTTATTCTTTGCATAGAATAAGTGAAAATAAAGGAGACCCTCAATAAAGTGGACACAACAATATCCACAACATTTTGTTTTATAATAAAGTTGCTATGATTTGGCAACTGGCAACAATAAAGATAAGCGTGGAATCAAGAAAGCATATGAGATTCTGAGATTTAAACAGGGAGTTTTGATAGTTTTAAATATAGATTAGATAATCTTATTCATAGGACAGAGCTATTTTTATCTCATGATATTAGCACATTTAAGGTGATTTCTTCTCACATTTGACTGTGAACTCTGAAAGCAAAGACCTTGTCTTAGTTATGTTGGAATTCCTCTGTCAATTTGTCTTAACTGTGGTGGCTTGTGTGTTGGTATGATGCTGGAAGCTATTCCAAATGGTGGATAGGTTTCACTGGAGTTTCCAGATAATGATAAACTAGGAAGAAGGAGAAGTGAATCATTTCTGAATGGTAAGCCATTTAAAACATTATGAATAACAGTGTAACATTGATATACTGTATGAAGATAGTGAAAAGGCACTCAAAGTAAAACTGGGAAAGAATTGGCTGCTAAAAGTAATAGTTGTTGCTGTTGTTAAGCACCATAGAGTCAGTTCTGATTCACAAAGACCCTGTATAGGGTTTCAGAGATTTTAAATCTTTGTGGGAGCAGAAACCTCATCTCTCTTCCATAGAGTGGCCGGTGGGCTTGAATCACTGACCTTGTGGTTTCCAGTCCAACACTTATCCTCTAGAACCACCACACTCCCTCAAAGTAGTGCTGACCTTAATGACATGAAAGGAGCAAAGCTTTCATGACCTTCATTTGCTTATAGCATACAACTGAAAATGAGAAGAAACAGTTCCAAGCATTCATAATAAGTCGAACATGGAATGTATGAAGTATGTTCCTGTTGTTAAGTGCTGCCCAGTCGGTTCTGACTCAGTGATGCTGTATAAGGTTTCCAAGGATCAGCTGTGTGTTTGAACTGTAGACCTTGTGGTTTGCAGCCCAGTGCTGAGCCACTGTGACACACCAGAAGTATGAAGTAGGAATCTAGGAAAATTGGAAGTCATGAAAAATAAAATTGAATGTATCAAGATCAATATCCTATGCGTTAGTGAGTGGAAATGAAGAGGTCATTTTGAATCTGACATACATGGGTTTTTCTCACATTTGACTATGGACTCCAAAAGTAAAGACAATTGTCTGGTTTTACTATACTGGGAACAACAAAATGAAGAGGAATGATATTGCATGTGTTGCCAAAACAAGTATTCCAAGCTCTATGTTGGAGTACAACAGTGTCAGTGATATGATAATATCCATAGGCCTACAAGAACCATCAAAGTTCTGGTGTGGCACTATAGGATAAGTACTGGACTACAAGGTTGACTTGAATCACAGGGTGGCAATCCAAACCCACCAGCCACTCCTCAGATACCCTATACAGTGTCACTATGAGTCAGAACTAACTGGATGGCACTAAAGGACAATAACAACCACAACAAAGAACATCAGTTAATACCATTGTTATTCAAATTTCCACACCAACCACTACAGTCAATGATGATGAAATATAAGAATTCTACCACCTTCTTCCCCCTGAAATTGAGCAAATATGCAATCAAGGTGCATTGATATTTACTAGTAAATGGAATCTGACGTTGGAAACAAAGAGGAATAATTGGTAGTTAGAAAATACGAATTTGGTGATAGAAACAATGCTAGAGATAACATAAATTTGCTATATTAATGACTTATTCATTGCAAAGACATTATGGAAAACTCAGTGTCATCAGTCAAAAACAAGGCCAGGGACTGACTTTAGAACACACCATCAATTGTTCATATGCAAGTTAAGGCTGAAGTTGAAGTAAATTAAAATAACTTCACAAGAGCCTGAGTATGATCTTGATTAAATATCACCTCAATTTAGAGCTATTTCAAGAATAGATTTGATACATTGACACTTATGACCAAAGACCAGCAGAATTGTGGGATGAACATTACACATGAAGAAAGCAAAAGGTATTTGAAAAGACAGGAAAGAAAAACAAACACAAAGTGAATGTCAGAAAAGACGCCGACTCTTGCTCTTAAATGGGACAAAGCTAATGCAACTGGATACAATGATGAAGTAAAAGAGTTGAACAGAACATTTCAAAGTGCAGCTTTCAAAGACAAAATAAATATACTATGAAGTGCACCAAGGTCTGGAGTTAGAAAACCAAAAGGGAAGAATACTCTCAGCACTGCTCAATCTGAAAGAACTAAATTTTTAAAAATGTACGTCTCAACATACTATACTGAAGGATTCTATGGGAGTCCTAGTGTGGTGCTGTAGAATAAGCACTGGGCAGATAACCGTAATGTTAGTAGTTCAAATTTATGAGCCACTCCTTAGAAATACTACATAAGGTAGTTATGAGTCAGGACTGACTCAGTTGTGGTTAATAACAACTCGGACAAAATATTAAATGATGAAGAAAACATCAAAAGAAGATGGAAGGAATCCCAAGAGTCACTGTACCAAAAAGAATTGTTCAAGTTTCAACTATTACAAGTGGTCAAATATGATCAAGGACCAAGGATATTGAAGGAATAAAAATGGAAATATTTCCACAAACTGATGCAGTTCTTCTGGTGCTCACTCATTTATGCCAAGAAATTTGGAAGACTGCTTTCTGGACAATGGATTGGGAAAAAAATCCATGTTTGTGTGCATTCCAAAGAAAGTTTATCCAACAAAATGCATAAACGATCAAACACTACCATTAATATAACATAATAAGTAAAATTTTGCTAGAGATAATAATAATTAAAAAAAAAAAAAAAATGGTTGTAGTAGTAAAATAACAGGGAGTTGCCAGAAATTCAAGGAAGATCCAGAAGAGGACATGGATGGAATGAGGGATATCATTGCAAATGGCAAATGAATGGGGGCTGAAAACACAGAATTTCAGAAAAATGTTTACTTGTGCTTTACTGACTATGCAAAGACACTCAACAGTATGAATAACAACAGGCTATGGGGCATTCCTGCATACTTAATTGTGCTTATGGGGAGCCTGTACATAAACAAAGAAGCAATTGCTAGAAGAGAACAAGGAGTTACTAAATGGTAAATGCGTTCCAGGGTTGTATCCTTTCAACATACTTGTATCTGCATGCTGAGTAGATGAGAGAAACTGGATTATAGGAAGAATAAAATGGAATAATTAATAACCTATAATATTCAGATGCCACAACCTACTTGTTGCATGTGAAGAGGACTTGAAATAATTACTGATGAAGATCACAGACCATAGCCTTCAGTATGGATTGTACCTCAATATAAAGAAAGCCAAAATGATCAATAAGCACCCCCACAAATAAACTCAATATATCAATAAACAACATTGTAATAAATGGAGAAAATATTGAAGTTGCCCAAAACTTCATTTTGCATGGATCCACAATCAACACTCATGGAAGCAGCAATCAAGAAATTGAACGATGGGATAGATGGAGCTTAAGTCACACCTGGCGCTCTGTGTTTTGTGGATAGAATCGCTCTCTGACTGGGATCTGCATTTCGCTTAGTGTCATGACGGCTGGGCAATCTGGAGCTAAGACCTGGATACTTGAAGCAGTTTAGCTGAAGAGAAATGGAGGAGCCATATATATTAAGTATGAATTCAGGAAAACCTGCCTGCTCTCTATACCGTTTTCCAAGGTGAGATCTTGTCCATAGAACTCATATGTCATCCTGTCGAGTAGATAAGCCCTCTAAGATAGTAGATGTCAGAGACAAAATGTGGGTGAAGCTTATTGGCCGAGAGATGAAAAATGATAGGATAAAAGTATCCCTCTCCATGAAAATTGTCAAGCAAGGGACTGGAAAAGACCTGGATCCCAACAACGTTATCATTGAGCAAGAAGAGAGGTGGAGACACTCCTTCCAGGATTACACTGGGCAGAAGATCATCCTTGAGGCTGTCCTAAACATTACCTGCAAGAAGTGTGGCTGTAAAGGCCACTTTGCAAAGGATTGTTTCATGCAGCCAGGTGGGACCAAATACTCTCTGATACCTGAAGAGGAAGAGGAAAGGAAGAGGTAAAGTCAGAAGAATTTGAGAAACCTGTCCTCACAAAGACTTCTAGAAAAAAGAAAAAAAAAGAAAGAAGGGAAAGAAGCACAGAGAGAAATGGAGGAGCCATAGATATTAAGTATGAATTCAGGAAGACCTGAGACCATGGATAACTTGCCTGCTCTTTATACCATTTTACAAGGCGAGATCTTGTCCATCGAACTCATGCGTCATCCTGTCGAGTAGATAAGCCCTCTGAGATAGTAGATGTCAAGCTGACATCTTTGCCCTTCAACACTTTAAAAAGGTCTTCTGTATCAGATTTGCCTAATGCAATGCATCGTTTGATTTATTCACTGCTGCTCCTAGGAGTGCTGATGGTTGATTCCAAGAAAAATGAAGTCTGACAACTTTAATCTTTTCTCCATTTATAAGAATGTTGTTTATTGGACTAGTGGTGAGGATTTTTGTTTTATTTACATTGAGATGCAATCCATACTGAAGGCTATGGTCTTTGATCTTTACCAGTGAGTATTTTAAGTCCTTTTCACTTTCAGCAAGCAAAGTTGTATCAATTGCATATTGTAGGTTGTTAATGAGTCTTCCTCTAATCTTGATGCCACATTTTCCTTCATACAACCCAGCTTCTCAGATTATTTGCTAAGCATACAGGTTGAATAAGTCTGGTGAAAGAATACAACTGTGTTGCACACCTTTACTAATTTTAGACCATTCAGTGTTCCCATGTTCTGTTTGAATAACTGCCTCTTTGTTCATGTACAAGTTTCTCATGAGCGCAATTAAATGTTCTGGAATACTCATACTTCACAATGTTGTCCTTAGCTTGTCATGATCCACACAATTGAAAGCCTTTGCCTATTCAATAAAGCACAAGTAAACTTCTCTCTGGTATTCTCTGCTTTTAACCAAGATCTATCTGAGGTCAGTAATGTTATCCCGCATTTCACGTCCTCTTCTAAATCTGGCTTAAACCTCTGCAAGTTCTCTGCCAGTGTATGTTTGCAGCTTTTTCTGTATTAAAAACTTTACTCACATGGGATATCAAAGATATTGCCTGATGATTTCCACATCCCATTGAGTCACCTCTTATTGGAATGGACAAAAATACGGATCTCTTCCAATCAGTTGGCGAGATAGTTGTCTTCCAAACTTCTTGGCAGATATTATTGGGTACCTCCAGTGCCACCTCACTTTCTTGAAAGGTTTCAATTTACATTCCATCGATTTCTGGTGCCTTGTTCTTTGCCAATTCCTTCAATGCACCTTAGACTTCTTCTTTCAGTATCATTGGCTTGTGATCATATGTTACCTCTTCAAACGGTTGAACATCGACCATTTCCTTTGGTACAGTGACTCGTGTATTACTTCCATCTCTTTAGATGCTTTCTGCATCATTCAATAATTTGCCCAGAGAATCCTTCAATAATGAAAGTTGAGGCTTGAATTTTTTCTTCAGTTCCCTCAACTTGAGAAATGCTGAGTGTGTTCTTCCTTTTTGGTTTTCTAACTCCAGATCTTTGCACATTTCATTGCTAATATTTGACTTTGTCTTCTCAAGCTCACCTTTGCATTTGTCTGTTCAGCTCTTGGACCTCCTCATTTCTTCCATTTGCTTTAGCATGTCTGCACTGGAGAGCAAATTTCAGAGTGTCTTCTGACATCCATTTGGATCTTTTCCTTCTTTCTTGTCTTCTTAATGACTTTTTGCTTTCTTCCTGTGTGATGTTCTTGGTGTCATCCCACAGCTCTTTGGGGCTTTGGTTTTTAGTGTCTAAGGTATCAAAGCTGTTCTTCAGATGATCTCTAAATTCAGGTGGGATATATTCAAGGTCATATTTTGGCTCTTGTGGACTGGTTTTCATTTTCTTCAGCTCCAGCCTGAATTTGCATATGAATAATTTGTGGTCTGTTCTGGCCTTTTTTGGCTGATGATATATAGAGAGCTTTTCCACCTTGACACTTTTCCAAATTGACACAAATGTAGTCAATTTGATTTCTGTGATTTTCATCTGGTGAGGTCTGTGTGTATAGTTGTGTCTTATGCTGTTAAAAAAGGTATTTGAAATGAGCAAGTCATTGGTTTTGCAGAATTCTATCATGCAATTCTCAGCATCATTTCTATCACCAAGGCTATATTTTCCAACTACTGATCCTTCCCCTTTGTTTCCAACCTTTGCATTCCAATCACCAATGATTATCAATATATCTTGATTGCATGTTTGATCAATTTCAGATTGAAGAAGTTGGTAGAATTCTTCAATTTCATCCTCACTGGCTTTAGTGATTGGTGCATAAATTTGAATAATAGTGGTATTAACTGATCTTCCCTGTAGGCGCATGGATATTATACTATCATAGACAGCATTGTACCTCATGACTGATCTTGATATGTTCTTTTTGATGATTAATGCAACATCATTCCTCTTCACTTTGTCACTCTTAGCATAGTAAACCATTGTCAGACTCAAAATAGCCAATTCCAATCTATTTCAGCTCACTAATGCCTAAGATATGGATATTTGTGTGTTCCATTTAATTTTTTACTATTTCTAATTTTCCTAGATTCATATTTTCATACATTCTATGTTCTGATTTTTAATAGATGTTTATACCTGTTTCTCTTCATTTTGCATTGTTTCCTAAATTCATTGACACAGTAGCAACAAAAATGTGTTATAACATTAATTGTGAGGAGGGTATAGGACTAGGAGTCTTTCATGTTGTTGTGCCTGGGGTCTTTATGAGTCAAAACTGAATTGAGGTACAAGCTGATGTTTTCTTATATTGACTGAGCACTCAAGAGACAAAGATAATGTCTTAGTGTGTTTGATTTTCCAATGAATGGCCCAATCCTTGGTCCAAAAATACACTCAATTTAACTAATTTGAAAGTCACATAAATTGAAGTGCATAGTGTCTGGGTTCTAAAGGTTTGAAAAAAAAATTAAAATCATAATGTAAATTACTTCATGTGTTTTCACAAAGTAAATCTCAGAGATTTGTTGAAACATGATAGACCACCTTTCTTTAATCAATGATGTAAATGAAACATTCAACACTAAATATCCTATATTTAACTAATATCTATAGTTAGAATATTTTGATGTTTTAACTATAACATATCCACAATAATTTGATAGATATAGATTCATTGTTAATGGCTTATCTGTTAGATATATATATTTCATATTTCAAATGTATATTTCTATTTCTCCATCCAAAGATCTTTCATTTTTATTTTCTTCCTAATTTTCTCACCCAAGATGTCAAGTGGGTAAATACATCGGATAAAATACCTGAAGTTGAATGATATGCAATAGAGAAGTATCTCAGTGATAATAAGGTGGAATTGAACTAGACACACAGTTAAAGTATTCTTGAAACCCAATTAAAAAATTGGCACAGGACATAAGCAGACACGTAACCAAAGAAGACATTCAGGCAGTCAACAAACATAAAAAAGAAATGCTCAAAAGCATTAGCCATTGTGGTTGTTGTTGTTAAGTGTCGTCAAATCAGTTCCAACTCATAGTGACCCTGTATAGGGATTCCAAGGAGCAGCTGGTCAGCTTGAGACAAGGAGCAGCTGGTCAGCTTGAGACACTGATTTTGTGGTTCAAACTGACCTCGCAGTCTACACCAGGCCATTATAGATATATACAACAAACAACAATGAGAAATCATCTTATACTAGTGTAACAGAGAAATTTAAAAAATTAAAAAAAAAACCTTCCCTTCCCCCCCCCCCCCCCGAAAACACACAACAGAAATCAAATGCAGGTTAAGGGTTTGGGGAGACTGGGACACTCATAAATTATTGGTGGAACTGTAAAATAGTTCAACCACTGTGGAAAACAGTATGGTGCACCCTTAGAAAGTTGGAAATATGGCCCAGGAATCCCTCTTCTTGATATATAGCCACAAGAAATAAGAGTCAGGACACCAGTGTCTATCACAGCAAAAAAGATGGTGACAGCCTAAATACCCATCAATGGAAGTGTGGGTAAACAAACTTTGGTACATACACACAATGGAATATTTGAAACATTGAAGAATAACAATGAATTTGTGAAACATTGATGAACCCAGAGGACAAATATCACAAAAGACTAAATATTGTATGAGACCACTATTGTAAAAACTCAAGAAAAATTTTCATACTAAAAAAACATTCTTTGGCAGTTATCAGGGGTGGGAGGCTAAATGGTGGACACGTGTTAACTTGGGTGACTGGGAGGGCAATGTATAAGAAGAAGGAGAGTAATATTCACGAAGAAGGAGCTTGGCAGAGGAATGATGAAGATAGGTGAATACTTAGGTATGTAAGGGCTAAAGATAAATGGAAATAGTAATATATACACAACCTTGCAACAACAGTGTTCTAGGCATAGATACATGGACAGACACAGGCTGAATGGGTATGGAGGAAGAGTGGTTTGTTGCATGGATGTGAATGCAATTATTGAGATGAAACAAAGTGTATAATTTGTTGAATATAAAACTGGTTATCAAAAAAGTATTATAAGAACTCAATATTTTCTAATTTGTTGTTGTTGTTGTTGTTAAGTGCCATGGAGTCAGTTCCGATTCACAGTGACCCTGTATAGGGTTTCAAAGGAGTGGCTGGTGTTATTTGACCTTGTTATTTGAACAGACATTGCAGTCCAGTGCTTTATCCCATAGTGGAACACCAAGACTCCATTTTCTAATTAGAAGCTTAATAGGATTCCTGATGTGGCATGTGGGTTAATGCACTGGACAACAAGGTCGGTTTGAACTGCAAAATCGGTGGTTCAAGCTCACCAGGTGCTACTCAGAAACCCTATACATGGTTGCTACGAATTGGAACCGAGTCGACAGCACTTAACAACAACAATATGATTCTCTAAGCATTTCGAAAAGGAGCTCTGGAAGTATACCGGTTACAAGTACGGTGGCGAATCTCAAAGACAGCAGTTCAAAAGTACCAGTGGTTCTGCCAGAGAATGATGGGGCTATCTGCTCCCATAA